AATTTAAGTGGGTCTGAATACTTTCCGTACCCACTGTATATAAATCTTATGTGGAAGGCTCAGGACCATAAATAATTGAATTCGCTCCATTCAGTTTAGCTGGTGTGGGAAAAAAAATTCAGCCAAAATTCGAAGACTTGCCAAAATACACAGAGACAGACAATGGAGTAAAACAAGGGTAAACATTGCCAGTGTTTAAACAACATGGATGAATTTGATGACATGTTCGGGTTTCAATCTATACAACAAACTTGCAGAGTTTCTTCTCAACAGGTAAGCTAAGCTTCAAGTTAAAAGTGTTCCTAATATGTTGGACCTTTTATTGAAGAATTCTACTTTACCTGTTGAAATATGCTATAAGAGCTGTGTTTGGGGGAGGCATGACACGCAAAAGGGGCATTTGCAAACAAAATTATGAATGTTTGAAAGCATGCTTTATTTTTGTAGTTCTGCTAGATGACACTAGTAGTGCAAAAACTGCCTACCCTAGCTTTAAGAGCCCACTAGGAAAATGAGCAACTGAGTGTTGACCACTTCATCGAATTTCTCTCCTCTCTTCTCCTCTCCACAGCCTTGTTTTCATTCACTTCATATCAAATGTGGCCTTACTACACTCCTAAACATACTCACTCCTAAACATCATTGTCTTGGACACAGTACCAGTCAGTCACAATAAGTGAAATTATGCAGGCAAAAAAGGTCCATTGCCAATAGTTGAGCAATGCATGAAGCACGGCTCACACAGAAGTCACTTTCAAACCAAGCAGCTTTCTTATGGTCAACGTGGCATATTAACGTAAAAAAAAAAAAAAGACTAGATTTCACCCACAAAATTTTACTAAGCAATGGAAAATGTGACAACATTTTTAGTTTAACTGAACACTACCAGTCAGCATTGTTAGCCTCCCTTTCTATGTCTCAGTCTCAGGTCTTGTCCTCCCTCACCCGCCACATCATATGTCATAATTTTTTGTCTTTTCCCCCTTGATGTCACTTTCCCCCTTTTAGACCCTCTGTCTCGCATTTCATCATCAAATCAAACCATATTCATAACAGTCTGGACCAGTGTTATGTAACAAACATGTGTGTTACATTTCTCAACACCTTTGTTCAGTCAGTAGCCTGTATGCATATCACTGTGCGATTGAGCCTATATCAGGTATCTAATAGTTAAATCACTAACTTCGCGAACTACTAGCAAGTGTTTTGTGAATATTATTTCTTTGTAAAAGGAAGGAATGTTAATTGAGTTTTTTTTTTAAATGTGTTTTATAGTTTTAAAAACTCTACTCATTTAGTAATGCACTAATGCACTGTGACCCATATGCTACTACAGGTATATGCGGTATGAGACGCTGAAAAAAATGACACTCAGCTAAAGATATCCATCTAGTGTGTACATATACCAGAAAAAAAGTGTGCAGATGGTACGCAAGAGTACTTTCTGTTCTGAATGTACCCCAGACAGACTGACAAACTCATCTGTGGGCTGTAGACCAGTAATAGACCTACGTTAAATGATTGTCTACCAAAATAATATATAATCTTTGTATTGGCTTCATTTTGTCATTATAAATTTAAAATCACACGGTCTGGGATGCTACAGCAGGAATATGAAGTAGTCAAGCATTTTTCCTGTTGTCACATTTCGTTTCAGTCAAACAGGCAGCCTGTCAAACTCAACCTGCTCACATGTCAGGTCAAGCCCAGCACTGAGGACAGGAAGTGCTTCGATCTCATTTCCCGTGAGTCAACAGACACCCACAGGGAGAGCTTCTTTTGTGGGAAACCACATGAGTGATTTAGTAGCTTAGTGTAATGTGTTTGTTTACTTTACCATACTCAGTCTTGGAAGAAAATTGTCAAACTTAATTTTAAATAGTTGGATAATTGCAACATTAATAAACTTTAATACTATCTTCTGGTGTTTAATTAGATTAATGAAAATCACTTCATGTATATGCAGATGGCTTATATTTTATTTGTCATGTGTTTCAGATAACCGTACATATCATTTCCAGGCTGAAGATGAGCAGGAATTTATAATGTAAGATTTTTTTATGGGACTTATTTTTTTTACACCACTTTGCATCTGTAAGTCACAAACTTTGTAATCTAACTTCTCTGTAAATGCAGTAATCTGTAATATTTTTTTATATACTGATAATGGGATCTCTCTGCAATTTAACAATTATGAACAATTATAGCAATCTGCCAAGCAGTGAAAACAACTATTATTTTGTGTGACTAGATTGTACTACTTTTACGGCAAACTAATATCGCAAATAGAGTTTGAGATTTTAACTCTCGTCTAAAGCATTTGCTCGATGGGTTTCGTGAATCTCTGTTGTGAGAAGTCTGTGAAGTGGTGTTAGGATTTAGCTGTTGTTTTTTTTAAGCAATACAGTCTTGTTGGCACATTGGTATTTCAGAATTACATGACTAAATGAGTGTTTAAGACAATATTATAAAAATCACCCTTTCTATGTCTCAGTCTCAGGTCTTGTCCTCCCTCACCCGCCACATCATATGTCATCATTTTTTGTCTTTTCCCCCTTGATGTCACTTTCCCCCTTTTAGACCCTCTGTCTCGCATTTCATCATCAAATCAAACCATATTCATAACAGTCTGGACCAGTGTTATGTAACAAACGTGTGTTACATTTCTCAACACCTTTGTTCAGTCAGTAGCCTGTATGCATATCACTGTGCGATTGAGCCTATATCAGGTATCTAATAGTTAAATCACTAACTTCGCGAACTACTATCAAGTGTTTTGTGAATATTATTTATTTGTAAAAGGAAGGAATGTTAATTGAGTTTTTTTTTTTAAATGTGTTTTATAGTTTTAAAAACTCTACTCATTTAGTAATGCACTAATGCACTGTGACCCATATGCTACTACAGGTATATGCGGTATGAGACGCTGAAAAAAATGACACTCCGCTAAAGATATCCATCTAGTGTGTACATATACCAGAAAAAAAGTGTGCAGATGGTACGCAAGAGTACTTTCTGTTCTGAATGTACCCCAGACAGACTGACAAACTCATCTGTGGGCTGTAGACCAGTAATAGACCTGGCAATTCAAGCTTTTTACAGTAGCAACTGTGTACAGTTACCATGCAGTCAAAAATTGACAACTTTTCTAATACATGTTCCTGTTAGCATGTTATTTCAAAGAAAAATGTATTTGCACTAGGGCTGCACAATTAATCAAATTTCTAATCGCGATTACAATTATGGATGCCACAATTACGTAATCGTTCAAAGCGGCAATTAATCGTTCAAAGTCCACTTATGGTATTCTGTGTGCTTAAGATGCGCTTTAATTTTAGTTTTAGTATAACATTATAATACAATTCATATTTTTTACTTTTTTTATAATTTAAAGAAGAAACCAATCCGATGTATCTAATACATGTTCCTGTTAGCATGTTATTTCAAAGAAAAATGTATTTGCACTAGGGCTGCACAATTAATCGAATTTCTAATCGCGATTACAATTATGGATGCCACAATTACGTAATCGTTCAAAGCGGCAATTAATCGTTCAAAGTCCACTTATGGTATTCTGTGTGCTTAAGATGCGCTTTAATTTTAGTTTTAGTATAACATTATAATACAATTCATCATATTTTTACTTTTTTTATTTTAAAGAAGAAACCAATCCGATGTATAGTTGACATTTGAGAGGCTTAATACTATTGAAAAGCACAACGTTTTTCAGTTAGAGTGTTTTCAGCTTGTTTATTTTCATATAAAAATAAGTCATGCAGTTGCATCAAACAGTAGTATAAACATCATTCAATGTAAATTGTGATCATTGTAATTAATAACCACATTTACAATTTCAAGGGAATAATCGACACTTATGATTTTTGTCATAATCGTGCAGCCCTAATTTGCACTCTTCAGTTTATTTAGTTGTGTCATAAAACTGTAAATAAAAAAGGTGGAGAATTCTTCTTGTGTTGCTCTGTTAATGTGTTTCTGCCTCTACAGATGGATCTCAGTGTTAACTAACAGTAAGGAGGAGGCGCTTAACATGGCCTTTAGAGGAGAGCAGGGTGGAGGAGATGATGGGCTGGAAGATCTCACTAAAGCCATAATAGACGATGTGCTGCGCATGCCCGGAAATGAAGTGTGCTGTGATTGTGGGGCTCCAGGTGCATATCTGTCTGTCCATCCATCCATCCATCCACTCATCTATCTATCTATCTGTCTATCCGTCCGTCTGTCTGTCTAAAAAGAAAATAATAATAAAACTGTGTCTGGTAAGGTTTCTCGGCCTCATTTCACTCTCTCCTCTCAGGTCTCTTCTCCACTCAATCTGTTGTTATTTTTTTGAATCCCTATTTCTGTTTTTCTCACTCTATTACCAGTGAAATCTGTCTCTCTCATGATGAAGCAGTGGCAGTGTGAGTGTGAGGATCAGGCAGTCAGTACAGACGAGCGCTGTTACATCACTCTCTTATGTAATTGGCTCATGCAAGCTATGCTGAACGTTCTGAGAGGGCGGCTGCTGCTCCAGGGATTATTTGATTAGCCTCTTTCACATTCATTGTTTTCTCTCTCTGCAAGAGGATAGAGATGTGGCCCAGTAAAGGATCCTGGGGCCTTTAAACTTGTTTTAATTTGTTGTAACATATAAATTGATGAACAATTTATAAATCGGGGAAATATGTTTTTATAGATTGTCAGGCTTATCAGTGAAAAGATTATTAATGCTATCCTGTTAGATGACCATTGTTAATGAGTAATGCCAGAATAAAGGCCCAGAATTCAAAGGAAATAACTATCAATAACTATAAAGTTTTAATCATTCTAAGTCCACACCACAATTATAACAATAATAACAAAAAATGTTAACATCGGTGTTGACACTAATATAGTTATCTTTATATTTATTGTTCTTAGTGTGAACGGTCCTTTAAAGGTGCAGTAGGAGATCTTGGAAAATGCTAACTTTAGCCTGATAGCACAGAAAGCGAACGTCCCACCCTCCCTGCAATCGCCGTCCAAAGCCATGCCCCCTGAACACATATACGCTGACAGACCAGAATACCAGAGACAACATTACAATAGGCTACATCAGCGGTTCTCAATTCCAGTCCTCGCACCCTCTTACTCTGCACATTTCATATGTATCTCTTATCACGTGCGACGTTTGTTCTATTCGACCGTAAGTGCCCTGGGAAATGTACATCACCGGATATTCCGCCATGATTCCAGTTCGAAGCGCGCGAATATGTTCCATACAAAGGGCATTAAAGTGTGCGAGACGTGAATTTAAATAGTATTTATTTACAGAGGTATGTTATGTCACACTTCACACTTCTTTAGTAAGTTTCGTCTGTGTGTGAAGGCGCTGTGCAGCGCAAATCCGTGAATGTCCGTGCGTGAACGCGCTGATGACGTATCCTGTCTGTGCGAACAGGGTGCGCAGAGGTATGCAAATACATATGTTGACAGGCAGGTAGGAAAGCCAATTAAAATGCTCGGACCAAGCATTTTGATTGGACAAACATTTCTTAGTCCTACGCCTTCCACAGAATATATAAATAAATTTAGACCACTTAACTTAATGATTGCTATTGGGATGTGAAGAGACTTTCAACCAGCATAACAAAAAAAGTTTCTGAAGACAATCACCAATTGATAGTTTTCACGTGACGTCACACCCTTATAGGAACGCCCACCTGGAGGGCAAAACGAAGCTTTGCTCCGCTGACCGCCAGTTATTTTTAGTAAGTAGTAATGTAGTAAGACGCAGATATTAAAAGGCGAAATTCAGTAAACACCTTATTGATTATGTATATTTTGTACAGGCAAGCAGATGAACCCAGAATATAAACACAATGTGCAAAGTTTCACGTTAAATGGTTTCCCATAGAAACCAGTTATAAGGAAAACACTCAACCATTAAGCGGATTGCGTTCATATTCCGGCCTTCTCTGCTTGCCAATGCAAACTATGCATTATTAATATAGAGATTACTAAATTTGATATTTTAATATTACGGTTTTAAATATATTAAGGCACTTTAAGCGTTTTTACAACGTTTTGTGACACTGTTTATTGATTGAAATATTGCCGCGGGTGCTTAATATGGATTGCAATTGGCCAAAACTTTCATTTTGTTCACATACCTTTGTTTTATTTTTTTGAGAGGTGACTTAAATATTTGCGGCTGTGAAGCAGATGGACTGAAAGCTATGAATTGCACCTTTAATTCATATTACGTATGAGATGAACTATAGACCAAATATTCAGTAGATATTAGTTGGATTATGTTATACAACTATGCTGTTGGGAGGTTGTTTGCTTGTTTGCTACATTGCTGTGTCATAGCTACTTTCATATGCAGTTCTTATGTTTTAGGTGGTTGGCTAGCACGTTGTTATATTACTAAGCAGTTGCTAAGGTGTTCTACGTGGTTGTTAGCACTAAGCACATAGCTACTTTTATATGCAGTTGCTAATGTGTTTTAGGTGGTTGTTAGCATTGTGCTATATTGCTGTGTGGTAACTAAAGTGCTCTGTTTGGTTGTTAAATTAGTATAGTTTCTATTTTCGTTTAGGAGTTCTGGGTGGTTGTTAGCACATTGATACATTGCTATGAGGTTGTTAAGGTGTTCTGGAAGGTTGTTAGCACATTGTTACATTTCTTCTATGCAGTTTCTTTGGTGTTCTGGATGGTTGTAAGGACGTTGCTCTGCAGTTGGTCAGGTGTTAAGGATTGGTTCCATTTTATGAACTAGGTGTCAAAAATAAGTCACATGATTTCAGGTATCATTTATGTCAGTAGCACAGACTATGTGGGATGAGTATGCATCATAGTTGCATCATACTCCTTTTTAAAACAAACCATTCTAGTCAACATTGATTCATTGATTCAAGGGCTTATAAATGAAGTTTAGGAAGCTTCAGGTCCACACGCCATGAGGCTTGAGTTATTGTGTTGAGCTGTTATTCAGCTCCTGCGCTGAGAGCGAAACGCTCTAATCTGTGTCAAGGTGCATGACTCCTTACATCAGTGAGTCTGTTTGAAAACAGGCTGGTTGATTTTTTTTTTTACCAGAGAGATGAATGATTGTATTTCATGGTAACTGATTGTGTGTCTGTCAGAGAAGAACTAATGTACAAGTACATCTGGGATTTACTGCACATGCAGAGAAAGCTGCTGGAGAAGACCTGTATCTATATATAGCTGCTGTGTATGTGTGTGTTCTCTTATCTTTGTTACCCTGTCATTGGTTCTGTTCAGGGGATGTCACTGGCACTCATGGAGCCACTAACACACCTGCCGCCAACACTAACACACAAACAGATCGTGTTATATTCTCATACAAACACGGATAACATGGCACTCTGAATTAAACTCCATTCAGTATTTACCATTCCATCTTCTAGAACAGTGGTTCTCAATTCCAGTCCTGGCGACCCCCTGCTCTGCATATTTTGCATGTCTCTCTTACTTAACACACCTGATTCAGATAACCAGCTTGTTAGAAGAGAGCTCCATGCATGAACTGTGTTCAGATTGACACGGTCCCTACACAGTGTTCATTGCTCCCTACTCCCTGAGCACCGGAAATCACTTTGCGCTACGCCACTGCCTGCAGCACCTTCACACAGATGAAACTTACTAGAGAAGTGTGACATAAATACAATTTAAATTCACATCTTGCACATTTTAATGCCCTTTGAATGGAACATATACGCTCCCTTTGAACTGGAATCATGGTGGAATATCCTTTAAAGTCCACTAGAATTTAAAATTATGAGTGCGACAAGGACCCCTTGTGGTAAAAATGTGTTTGTTTCTTTTCATAATTTTGCCTTTTTTTGTTGTTGTTGATGTTCTCAGATCCCAAATGGTTGTCAACTAACCTCGGAATCCTGACGTGCATCGAATGTTCAGGCATTCACCGGGAGATGGGTGTCCACATCTCACGCATTCAGTCTATGGAGCTAGACAAACTGGGAACCTCTGAACTCTTGGTGTGTTCGATTTAAAAAAAAAAAAATTTTCAGTATAGCAAAGGTCTTAAACAGGGTTTCTTTGGCAGTATTGCAGGGGGTCTGCCAATTATTGTTTGATCACAAACTAATTAATGTGACAAAATAAAAAGTATAGCCAAATTAACTTTAACCAAAGCTAAAGTTCAGCTAAATGTATTATTGTCCTTACCACATGTATCAAAATGTATTAAGTTAGTTTAAATTTGAATGTGCAAAACTCTCAATATCCTATTATCATCTTTAACTAAAACATGTTTGTGAATTGAAATTAAGCTAAAATAAAATATAAATATTATATGAAAAATGTAAGTTGCCGTGGTAACTAGGTGCAGAAAGTTTAATTTGAAGCCCTAAAATTACTAACTGGAAACAAATCAAGACTGTTATAACTGTTATAAATATAAATAAAACTAAATAAATAATACAGAATTACTGAAAATGTAACTAAAATAAAAATGAAAACTAAAAAAAAAATGCTCATTCAAAATATTGTACAATAAAACTATAATAGTATATAAATAATATGAAATTTTTTTATTTTATTTTAATGGTTTTACGATGCAAGAAGCATCATAACCAAGTGTAAAAACATCAGTATGATACTTATTAATGTTATTATAGGCCAAGCTTAAAATGTTTTTACATTATCTAATAATAAATAGTCCATGGCCAAACCCTTTAATATTTTAAAATCATATTTCATATAATGAAATGGGGTCAGTGCTTCTGACAAATGCATAATTGATTTTTCTACATAATTCATAATTATTCATTTATTTAATGATATTCGGAGAATTAGATGTATTGCAATTTAGGCATATTTAATTTTGTTTTCCTCTATTTTTTGCTTTTAGCTGGCCAAGAATGTGGGAAATAATAGTTTTAATGAAATAATGGAGGGAAATCTTCCTTGGCCGTCTCCCAGGCCCACTCCTGCTAGTGACATGTAAGTACATATAGCAAACATAAAATTAATTGTCATATTATATTTTAGTTTTCTAGTGTATTGAAAATACTTTCCGGTAAATGATAGATTTCCTTTATTTTCAGTTGCTTAAACATTTTTGAATGTTTGGATATTAATGTAAAATCCCATTTTACAAAAATTGTATTTCCCTCTCTCTTATGTCGATCTTAGGACTGTTCGTAAGGAGTTTATCAATGCTAAGTATGTAGATCATAAGTTCGCAAGAAAAACCTGCAGCTCAGCAGCAGCCAAGATGAGTGAGCTGTTTGAAGCCATCAGGTCACATGACCTGCTAGCTCTCATCCAGGTGTATGCTGAGGGGGTAGAGCTTATGGAACCAATACCTGAGGGAGGACAGGTGAGTGACAGCGTCTGAGAGTCAAATCGATCATTAAAAGGTATAGTAATTAGGACAGTGGGAAAATAGGGTCACTTATTCATTTACCATTTCATTTTTATTAAAAAAAAAAAAATTTGACCCATGAAAGGAAATATGCCGACCATTTTGGGAGGAGATAGTAGGTCCACAGGGACAGAGTGTATTTATACCTAAACAATTATATGGCATGATCGATGTCCCATGCACATCAGACTCTTTGATGAGCACAGATTTTGAGGTCTGGTGAAAATCAGAAAGCAGACACGCTGGATGTGACTTGAATCCTCTGCCTTGATCTTTTCTCAGTTTTCCTCACTGAGGGGTCCGTCATTGTATCAACTAATGACTGTGATAATGCTGCCACCCGACTCGGAGATGAACAGCTGCTTTTGAGGGGGTGTATTCGGGAAAATATTCTCAATCTAAAATTATCTCTGTTTCGCTTTTTATGATGTAGCCCAGGGGTCTTCAAATAAAATTGGTTGATGTCCAGTAATGAACACTCCTCACCAGACGAGGTCTGGACAATTATATACCTAAAAAAACATGAATTGATGGTTTTTGCCATTCACCTATATCTGCAGGATATTTACAGTAAGCTCAAATTTAAGACTTTTTAAGACCTGCACAAATAAAATTAAAATAACTGTAAAAAGATTTAGAGTTCAGATACAGGTTTTCACAAAAACAAAATGTTTTATAAAATGATAAACTTCACGTTTCAGCCTTTAAAGGACCCATATTGTAATCATGAAAAAAGCCAGGAATTTGTTTTGTTTTGAAGTTTTGACAATATGGGATCTTTAAACCATTTTTTAAAAGAAAATAGAGGTACAAGTATAAATTATTATATTAATTGAAACAATTATTATCAATCATTATATTAATTAAATAACATATACATATATTTTACATATAAATATAATCTTAATTGTTTAAATATTTAATACATTATCTTCTTGTCAGTCCACCAGTTCACATTTACAACTCATTGTAAATGAGTAAAAACATTGGTTGTTTTTCACATTGGTCTGAACAAAAACAGCAGACGGGCTTATTGAAAATGCTAATTCATTCTCTGCCAGCAGGAACGGCAGAAATATAGTGGTTTCTCCAGTAACGGCAGTACATAATGTATGTACATAAAGCGCAGCAGCTGACTTTGAAACGTGCAGCGCTCATATTTATTCAATGAAGTTTAATCACATTAAGCCAGGGGTCTCCAATTAAGAATTTCTTGTACCATCTGGTACCAAGACTTTTTATGGCCTTAAATTTAAGACTTTTTTAAAGACTTTTTAAGGATTTCAACTTTCCTAATTTTTTAGAATGCCATTGTTTTACACTCACTGAAAGTCTGTGCTCTGCTCTCTGCTCTCTTCACTAAACGCACGACTGCACATAGTCTGAACATAGCAACAGTTAACTGTAGTAGCAACCCATGGCGCCATAGGACCCAAACGGCTCTACTGATCTGACCTTGATGTGCTTGATATACATTTTATTTTATTAGAAATTAGCATTTATTTCCTCATGTCAAAATGCTTTGCGGTCCGGATTCGGACCGGAGTCTGCTAGTTGGCGACTCCTGATGTAGCCTATTGCCCGAGCATAAGCTGATTTCGGGTTATCTTTTGTTGAATCCTCAAACATGAAGCAGTGTCCATGGCTGTGTCAGAGACACTATTAGCCAGATATGTTAGTGGATCTTCATCAATACATTACATAACACAATTGAAATTACAATATACATACATTACTATTCAAAAGTTTGGGGTCAGTCTTTTTGAAAGTCCCTTATAACTACCAAGGCTGCTTTTATTTGATTTGATCGAAAACAAAGTAAAAACAGCAATATTGTGAAATATTTTTTTACAATTTCAAATAACTGTTTTATATTTTTTTAAGACTTTTTAAAAGACTTTTTAAGGATTTCAACTTTCCTAATTTTTTAGAATGCCATTGTTTTACACTCACTGAAAGTCTGTGCTCTGCTCTCTGCTCTCTTCACTAAACGCACGACTGCACATAGTCTGAACATAGCAACAGTTAACTGTAGTAGCAACCCATGGCGCCATAGGACCCAAACGGCTCTACTGATCTGACCTTGATGTGCTTGATATACATTTTATTTTATTAGAAATTAGCATTTGGCATTTATTTATTTCCTCATGTCAAAATGATTTGCGGTCCGGATTCGGACCGGAGTCTGCTAGTTGGCGACTCCTGATGTAGCCTATTGCCCGAGCATAAACTGATTTCGGGTTATCTTTTGTTGAATCCTCAAACATGAAGCAGTGTCCATGGCTGTGTCAGAGACACTATTAACCAGATATGTTAGTGGATCTTCATCAATACATTACATAACACAATTGAAATTACAATATACATACATTACTATTCAAAAGTTTGGGGTCAGTCTTTTTGAAAGTCCCTTATAACTACCAAGGCTGCTTTTATTTTATTTGATCGAAAACAAAGTAAAAACAGCAATATTGTGAAATATTTTTTTACAATTTCAAATAACTGTTTTATATTTGAATACATCTCAAATACAAATGTCATTTTACATTTTCCAGTCTTAATTGTCACATGATCCTTCGGAAATCATTCTTATATGGCAATTTTATTATTATTAATGTAAAAAAAACAAAAAAACATTTGTCCTGCTACATTTTGTATAAATATTTTTGTGGTAACCATGGATTTTTTTCTGGATTCTTTGATGAATAGAAAGATCAAAAGAACAGTATTTATTTGAAACAGAAATCTTTTATAACAATATACAGTAAATTTTTTGTTTATTGTATATTGTCTTCACTGTGACTTTTGATTAATTTAATGTATCTTTGCTCAATAAAAGTGTTGACCTTGTTTCCATCAGCAGATTTGTGCTTCATTTAAAAAATATTTTTATTTTTTTAAAATATATATATATATTTTTTTTAATTATTTCCTTTAAAATACCATGCAAAGAGAAATTCTACCACCATTTTTTAAGCTACTTAAAAAAAAATTTTTTAATAATAAAGTAAGTCCGTTTATTTTGACAATGAGTCATAAATTTTTTTTCTGGATTCTTTGATGAATAGAAAGATCAAAAGAACAGTATTTATTTGAAACAGAAATCTTTTATAACAATATACAGTAAATTTTTTGTTTATTGTATATTGTCTTCACTGTCACTTTTGATTAATTTAATGTATCTTTGCTCAATAAAAGTGTTGACCTTGTTTCCATCAGCAGATTTGTGCTTCATTTAAAAAATATTTTTATTTTTTTTAAATATATATATATATTTAAAAAAATTATTTCCTTTAAAATACCATGCAAAGAGAAATTCTACCACCATTTTTTAAGCTACTTAAAAAAAATTTTTTTTAATAATAATAAAGTAAGTCAGTTTATTTTGACAATGAGTCATACATAAAAAAAAAACAGGAATTAAATAAGATTTATTTTTCAGTTAACACAATGATAATAAATTTCCTTTTTTTTATTTGTTTTTTTATTTGTTTTTTTTTAAATTTGTGCTTCTGTGTTATAGGAAGGAGGAGAGACTGCATTGCACTACGCTGTGAGGACAGGTGACCACACCTCACTGCACCTGGTTGACTTCCTTGTCCAGAACAGGTATGGATCACCAGCCTATAACCACAAAAACCTGGGAGCAGACACTCCTGGCCATGTTTTTACTATCAATTTTTTGCAGTGAATGATCCTTCATTTTAAGCAGTCACCTCTTGTTGCATTCCATCACTATTATCATAAAGAGCTTCATGATTAACCAGGATGAGTTTTAATGTGTTTTTTATTTAGGTTGGCAGGTGTTCATGTATGAGCACCAGCACTTTTGAAGGGATTATTATGCAGATAATAGAGTAATTTAAATTCAACTTTAGCTCAATTTGCTCTCTAGTGTGTGGTTTAAAGCTGCATAACAGCATTATAAGATCGGGTCATGCCTGGGCCAGAAATATACTTGACTCAAATCCTAGTAAATAATCATAATTCGATTTCCCTGAGAACTGGAACACTGAAACTATTCCAGGTTCGCATTAAAGGTTGACTCGAGCAATATGACAGCATAAGGGAAATAAATCCAACCCAGACAACTGGAATTGTTTTATTTTTTGGACAGCATGGCTCACTCTGCTCTAACTCCTCGCCAGGTTTTTCATTCCCCAATCCTCACTTGCTCCCCGATTACATCTGAAAGATACTCCGAGTTCATTCCATGGCAAAGTTTGCACTGTGATAAATTTAATATTAGGTTAATGTTTGTGCAATTTCTGTACAGTTATACAATATTAATCAGTACATTAATATTGATTGATGAATGTGTTTAAAATGTGAAGTGATGTTATTTTCTGTTAACACTTTGTTTCCATAAAAAGGTTGGGGTCTGTAAAATGTCTCTTATAGTCACCAAGACTACATTAAAAAATAAAAAAAATTATACAATTTTAAATCAATATTTCTTATTATATTTTAAATTAATTTGTGGTGGCAAACCTGAATTTTCAGGAGTCATTATTAGTTTTCAGTGTCACATGATCCTTCAGAATTATTTCTAATTTGCTGATTTGGTTATCAAGAAACATTTCTTACTGTTATTGATATTGAAAACAGTTGTGCTGCTTAATATTTTTACAGAAACCAGGATTCTTTAATGAAATTTCAGGATTCAGAATCCGATTTCAGGATTCTTTAGTGAATAGAAAGTTCTAAAGAACAACATTATTATTATTTTGTGACAATGTACAAGTTTTTACTGTCATTTTTTTTTATTTTAATGCATCCTTGCTTAATAAAAATATTAATTTCTTGATTTCAAAAATATTTTTACTGACTCCAAACCATTTAAACTGTAGTGTACTGAATGCGGAAGGAAAGCTTAGTCATATTATACATGTCTTTGTAAATTCCACAGTGATTCTTCAGTTGTCCCCACAGTCATGTCCACCGGTTGTGTTAATCTGTCTTTAATATTTACTAAACATTTAGGATTTTTTCTCATTGTCTTTCCAGTATTGTTGCAAATTCCTTTTTATTTCAGTCTGGCATTTGTCTATCTGACAGTCTACTAAATAAATATTTCACAATATAACTAGTAAATGTCCTGACATGCAGTTGCATTATGGGCTTTAATGTGTTTTATGGAAGACAGATGCTCATTTCAACTTGATTGTAGTAATCAGTTATATCAAACATAATTTTGTATATGTATACAGGTGGACATTCACATATTCATTGACACTACACAGAAATATGTTTGACACACCAACTGAGAATCTCCATGCAGAATCAAATGAACACTGATACGGTCATACTGGGCAAAGTGGAAATTAGCATTATCCTTTCAGAACTTAGATTAGACCCTGAATTTTACTGTGTAGCGCTAATCACTACAGAAAATGTTCAAGCTGAACTTAAGTCTGAGTCAGGGAAATATATGAATTTGCTCTCGTAGAGAGCGGGGATATGCTGGTGTAGATGTGTAGCCTGTTTTGTTTTCCTTTGTTGTGATTCACACTAGGTAAACAGAACTGGGTCATTTACTTGCTCTCTCCCTATGTTTGCCGTTTAGTCACTGCTGACCCAAATTCAAAAGTGTGAAGTGGTTCATTAAGAGTGAAAATCTTGTTAATGTCAGCCTCAGTTAAAGATTTGAATTGCAATAAAGCACGCTTTGGAGATATGCTCAGATGATTTTGTTAACATGTTAACAAGACCATAGTTTTGTGCCAAAATTGATGCAGGTTGGATTTTGATACATAATTATTTTGCTTTATGTAGGAAGTTTTGAGTTCTAATACTTAGTGTGTTTTTAATAGTACAATAAACTCTTGCATATGTCAGAAGATCAAGAAAAAATTGATTCTTCATATCTCTGTCTCCAGTGGGAATCTGGATAAACAGACGGAGAGGGGAAACACGGCCCTGCACTACTGTTGCCTGTATGAGAAACATGAATGCCTCAAACTACTGCTGAGAGGCAAACCAGCTACTGATATCAGTGAGTTACACATGCATTTACTGTACTTCTTTACTTTCCACTTATTATGCCTTTATAATATGCTTAATTGTATACAAACATGTAGGCATGGACAATAAATCAGTACCATACTGATAATTGGCCATTAAAAAAATTATTTTATTTTTGTATTATTATTATGCTACATAATTTAATAACTTGTATTAATGAATTAATGATTTGATTTTTTTTTTCATACTGCAATTTATGATGCTTAAATTCATTCAAAAATTCTAAAATCAAACCAACAAAAGAACAATAATATGTAAGTGCTGTGACAAGTCCCGGTTAGTCTAATAAATAAAATAATTAATAAAAGAAAAAAGTCGATAGAATAGAAAAAGGGTTGTGGCATTTAAAATGAATGAATTTATATTTTTAGGGTTTTTTTGTTTGGTAATTTGTTAATTTAGGCAAAATAGTCTAGAATTATAATGTTGGTCATTTATGCGTAATTGACAGTAACATAAAAATAAAATAATTGCCATCTTATCATATCAGCCAGAATCCCTGATTACATATACTGTATATTTATCAACGCTTAGCCACCACATTGTTTCATGATAGACATTATGTATAATTTCTGGCTAATGTGGGACCTTATGTTTCAGCCAATCAGAATGGAGAAACAGCTCTGGATGTGGCCAAGCGGTTGAAGATCATTCCGTGTGAGGAAGCGGTGAGTAACTTCTGGGTCAGATGATATAATCCTTCCTTTCAAAACACTTAATACATGTCCGAAAATATGTCCTTCATGATCAAAGAACAGTAAGGGGCAGCAAAAATGTGGTAAAGGCCCCAGGGTGTTAAGATGTGGCTGTTTTTGAAGATCTGACTCATATTTGTGTATGTGTGTGCTTCAGCTGGCACAAGCCACTGCAGGAAAATTTAACCTTAAAGTCCATGTGGAATATGAATGGAATCTCAGACTGGAGGAGCTTGACGAGAGTGACGATGATCTGGATGACAAAGTAACACATCCCCCCTTGAACCTCTCTTAAAATGTTCAAACTTATATGACTCACTGACTGAAAAAATTCCACATTGTTTTTCATTCCCAGCCCAGTCCCATTAAGAAGGATCGTTCTCCCCGGCCCCAGAGTTTCTGTCACTCGTACAGTCTGTCTCCTCATGACAAGCTCTCTCTGCCTGGTTTCACTGGTCAGCGTGATAAGCAGCGCCTTTCATACACTTCACTCTCCAATCAGATGTACAGCGTTTCGACTGACTGCCCGTCCTCTCCAGTCTCAGATGCTCCACCTCTGCCTCCTAGGAATGCAGGCAAAGGTAAACCAGAAACTCAAAGCCGATCAAATGCAAAAAAACTTGAACATAACCTTGTTCTAACCAGTCTTGCGTATTAATAATTAAATATATTAATTTATGTTATAAATTCTATTTATATTCATAAAAGCTGTTTATGAACATATTAATCTAGCTCTTAGCTTCTGTAATTTTAGTTCAGTTTGTAATCCTAAAACCTGTACAGTAAACTAAAAAAAAAAAAAAAATAAGCAAAACTGTTAACAGCTGTAACAAATATCTGTGGTTTTTATCCCCTCTCTGTTGCTTTGCACAGACTCCAGCTGTGCTTACTTTTCCTTTTGATACTTTTGTTTATAGTTTAACTTTCTGATATGTCATTGTATTAATAGGCAAACCTATGTAAAATATCATTCAGTCTTTTTCCATCTTTTTCTTCATTCTCTCTCTGTATTTTTCAAATTTTCTCGTCTCTTGCAGCTCCTCCTCTGGCTTTCCTTGGCTCTCATTCCCACTATGCTACTCTGGCTAGCACTCGACAATACATAAGTGACTATCTTTTTTTTATTTGCATAAACCTCTCCTGCTTATTTAATCTATTTAATGACCTTATTCTGTGATCGTACGGCTGTGTCTTTAACTGAAGGCTGCTGCATCGCAGTGAACTAAATGTTTTTATATGAAAGTACACTAACATACAAATGTTTTGAGGGCAGTAAGACATTTTTTCTTAAGGAAATGGATACTTTTAAATATAAAGGACTGTTAAATTGATCAAAAGTGACAATTTAGACATGACATTGTAATGTTACAAAATATGTCATATATGTCATATATTTCAATATTTCAAATAAATGCTGTTCTTTTAAAAGTTCTATTCGTTAAAGGGGTATGGCAGAGTCTTAGCTTTGATAAAGAATATCTCTTTGGTTTTGAGACTAGTGTTTGCAACTTCAGGGATCTTATCTATGCACAATCAGCCTGTAACACTCCAAAGAGAAAGGAAAACTTGAAATCGCATCATATGACCCCTTTAAAGAATCCTAAAAAATGTATTTCCACAAAAATATAAAGCAACACAACTGTTTTCAACAATAATAATAAATAAAAAAATTATTGAGCACCAAATCAGCATATTAGAGTGATTTCTGATGGATCATGTGACACTGAAGACTGGATTTATTCATGTGATTTATTCATCACATGAATAAATTACAACTATAATAATTATTTAAATAGAAAACGTCTCAGGTTACGCATGTAACCATGGTTCCCTGAGAACAGAGAACGAGACGCTGCGTCCTCTAGAGGATGCTAGAGGAACGCCTTCAGCGTGACCGGTGTCTGAAGCATGAATGAAAAAACGACAATGAACTTGACATTGGCAGGTGGAAGCCCGTGACGTAAGCAAATGAGCGACTGCAAGTATAAAAGGAGCACCTGTGGAATATGTCATCCTCTTTTTTTGTCTGAGGAGGCACAGGTATGATGCCCGAAGCATGACAATGACACGCAGCGCCTCGTTCCCTGTTCTCAGGGAACCATGGTTACATGCGTAACCTGAGACATTCTCTTTCGAAAGGGAACTCAACGCTACGTCCTCTAGAGGGCGCTAGGGGGATGGTCTACCCACGCCGCCATGCTGAGTGATGAGTGCCCAAAAACGGGATTCCTTAAGTCAAGGACTCAAGGAACACCATCCCTTCTCCAGCCAGATTGCTTTTGCCAGAACCCGAGCCACAACCTCTACAGGCAGGCTCAAGCTCGCCAGCGTCGTAGACTAGCCCACCTACCAAAGTACAGAACTCTAGAGTGGAGGTCTCAGCATAACGACTCTCTAGAACGAGAGGAGACCTGGCTACACTCAACGCCAGGGGCAGTCAGTGAGGCTCAAGAGCCTACACATTAATACTGCCTCAGCGGAGCTATGCAAAGTGGAGGCTTCAGCAGAATGACTCTCTTAAAATGAGATGAAGCCTAACAACACTCAACCATAGTTGAGGGACTCTCAAGAGTGGAGATCTCAGCATAACGAGACTCTAAAGTGAGAGGAGACCTAGCTACACTCAACGCCAGAGCGGAGTTCTAAAGAGCGGAGGCTTCAGCAGGATAACTCTCTTAAACGAGAGGAGCCTAACCACACTCAACCCTCGTTGAGGGGTTGAGGAGCTCTTAAGAGTGGAGGTCTCAGCATAACAACTCTCTAAAGCGAGAGGAGACCTAGCTACACTCAACGCCAGAGGCAGTTAGTGAGGCTCAAAAGGGGAGAGCCTACGAACCCATATTTCTGCCTAAGCGGTGCTCTGGAGAGCGGAGGCTTCGGCAGGATGACTCTCTTAGACGAGAGGAAGCCTAACGACACTCGATCCTGGTAGGGGAACTCTGAAGAGTGGAGGTCTCAACATGATGACTGTCTAAAGTGACAGGAGACCTAGCTACACTCAACGCCAGAGGCAGTTAGTGAGGCTCAAAAGGGGAGAGCCTACGAACCCATATTTCTGCCTAAGCGGTGCTCTGGAGAGCGGAGGCTTCAGCAGAATGACTCTCTTAAACGAGAGGAAGCCTAACAACACTCAATCCTAGTTTAGAAGCTCTTAGGAGCGGAGGTCTCAGCATAACGACTCTCTAAACAAGAGGAGAGCTGACTACACTCAGCGCCAGAGGCCGTCAGTGCGGCTCAAAAGAAAGAGCCTACAACTCATATTTACTGCCTAAGTGGAGCTCTGGGGAGCGGAGGCTTCAGCAGGATGACTCTCTTAAACGAGAGGAAGTCTAACGACACTCGACCCTGGTAGGGGAACCCTTAAGAGTGGAGGTCTCAACCTAACGACTGTCTAACGTGAGAAGGGACCTAGCTACACTCACCGCCAGAGGCAGTTAGTGAGGCTCAAAAAAGAAAAGAGCCTACAAACTTATATTACTGCCAAAGACGGAGTTCTAAAGAGCGGAGACTTCAACAGGATGACTCTCTTAAACTCAAGGAAGCCTAACTCAACCCTACTCTAAGAGTAGAGATTTCAGCATAACGACTCTCTAAAGTGAGAGGAGACCTAGCTACTCAACGCCAGAAGCAGTTAGTGAGGCTTGAAAAAGAAAAGAGCCTACAAACCCATACCACTGCCTAAGCGCAGCTCTGGAGAGCGGAGGCTTCAGCAGGATGACGAGAGGAAGCCTCAAAACTCAGCCATAGTTGAGGAGCACTTAAGACTGGAGATCTCAGCATAATAACTCTCTAAAACGAGAGGAAACCTAGCAACACTCACTCACCGAAGATACACTTATAATGAAACCCAATTCCAGACCCTCAGAAAGAATCCTCATCATTGGTTCGGCCTCAGGGTCCACTCTCAAGTGCACATGATGGGGGGGAGAAGGAGGGTTTCAGGTTCAAGTACCAGCTCCAGATGGCTGTTTGCCGTGTCCGCGCTGGATCTTTCCCCTTAGATCCCTTCTCCTGTCTCTGAACTCCCACCTCCTCTGTGATCTACTCCTCGGAGGAGGAGGACCACGAGTGGCCACACTCACCGCCTGGCCTGTCTCCGATCCGTAGACCGGGATGGGCCAGGATCCCCCTCATGTTTGGGTGCAGACATAGACCGGCGCGGTATAAAAGACTTATAAGCCGCCAAGCGCGCTTTCGCCTCCCTGAATTTACCGACCACCGTCTCAACGGATGTGCCGAACAGCTCAGAAGGCAAAATCGACATATCGAGAAGAAAGCATTTCTCTTTCTCCCCGATGTCCGCCAAGTTCACCCACAGATGTCTCTCAGTGGCCACCATCACCGCCATAGACCTGCCGATTGCGGCAGCTGTCTGCTTGGTGGCCCTGAGCGCCAGATCTGTGGTGCGGCGCAGCTCGGTCACCGCCTCAGGGGAAAGCCCCTGACCCTGGTCTAGGTCTTTCAGCAACTCAGCCTGGTACGCCTGCAATACTGCCATCGTTTGCAAAGCAGCACCAGCCTGACCTGCTGCCGTGTATGCCCTACCATTCAAGCGCAAAGTCTCCTTCAATGGCTTGGATGGCAGGGCTGGAGCTTTCAACGTCGATGTCACCCCAGCCGAGAGATAGCTCGCAAGCGTCTCTTCGATAGGGGGCATCGACGCATATCCGCGCTCACGCATCCCCTCGATGCCAGCATAATTAGACTTATGCTGGTATTGATGGATGCGGGCTGAATATGGTTTATCCCATGCCTTCTCGATCTCAATATGGAGATCTGGAAGGAATGGGAGGCTCACGGGAGCTGGGCGGTTATGTCCAGAAAGAAATCGCTCATCCAGTCTGCCACGAACAATTTCCCCTTTATCGCGCCTCCACTGCAGATCTAACCTCGCAGTGGCGCAATCCATAACCTCCAACAGCTCATCATACGCGGGGCAGGTAGACTGAGAAGGCTCAGAAACATCCTCTCCACCCTCATCAGCCAGATCCTGCTCACTTTGCAACAGAGCACTTCCTGCTGGATCAGAGGATGTAAGTGACAACACATCTTCTTCCAGCAGTTCACCCTCTGCAGCCGCCGACGAGCGTGAAAGATTAACCCCTCTCTCGAACTCGTCAGCCAGCTCCATCTGCGATCCCCACGATCTCAGCCTCCTCGCTGCCTCAGCAGCGGCAGGACCCGAGCCGCGGGGGGCAGATGATTGTCCCAATTCCCTCGAAAAAAGGGACAAACGAGATTAGAGCTTTCTCGCTGAGAACTGCTCCCAATGAACGCATTCCGTTCCCTCGAGAACAGAACGCGCGTGCTCTTCGCCCAAACACATAACGCAAAGGTTGTGTGCGTCATCTGGTGTCAGATAACGCTGACACGGATCTGCAAATCTCCTAAAGCGTCTCGCAACAGACATCGTTTTCTTACCAATCACACTCCAGAAACAAGGATCCCTGAAGACAAAAAAGAGGATGACATATTCCACAGGTGCTCCTTTTATACTCGGAGTCGCTCATTTGCTTACGTCATGGGCTTCCACCTGCCAATGTCAAGTTCATTGTCGTTTTTTTCATTCATGCTTCAGACACCGGTCATGCTGAAGGCGTTCCCCTAGTGTCCTCTAGAGGATGCAGCGTTGAGTTCCCTTTCGAAAGGGAACAGTTATTTTAAATTGTAATAATATTTCACAATATTATGTTTACTGTATTGTTGATCAAATAAATGTAGCCTTGGTGAGCATAAGAGACTCTTTTTTTAAAAAAATTTTTTTTTATCACCGATCACAAACTTTTGGAAGGTAGTGTACCTACTAAAGAAATTAATTTCAGATGATTTGAAAATGATATAGAACACATTGAAATGAGCTTTAGAAAATACATTTATTATTATAAAAAAAAAAAAAAGTAACATTAACAAATTACTATCATAGGCGGTGAATACAAATGCTGACAAGATAAATGCTTCTTAGTAGATGGCATGTTGCGCATAAATTGGATTCGGATGTGCCTTGATGCCTTTATACTTCTAGATACTGCATACTTCTGGTTTTGGACTATACAATCACTCAAACCACCATCACTGTGTCGTGGTCACTAATATTTCTTATATGCAAGTTTAGCAGACAAATCAGATTCAGTACATCCTATTTACTTATCACTTGATGATTCTGCTACAGTTAATCTGATTTAGTAAATAGATGATTTGACTTTCCTTAGTAACAACTAAAGTGCAGAATTTGCTGAAGTTGTTAACTTGCTGCGTTTGCTTACATCTCATCCCTTTCCTGGTACCCTCTGACTGAGTTTTTCACTGGCTATTGACTGTCAAAATATGTAACATCGAATAGACCATCCATGAGAATAAACCTTACTCAACTTTTTTGTGGTGTCTCGATGTCCTTTTCCAATTTGTCACTCATCTCTAGTTTCTCCACTTCCACTTTAAGTACCCCACTTACCTGACTTGCTTCAGTTTCAGTAGCAATTGTCATCTTATCCATGTGGTTACCCACACTCTCATTCTTTCCCTTTATTTACTTATCTTTCTATCCTGCCGTCCTTCCTCCTGTATCATCCACAGAGCCCATGTTAAATGACAGTATCCATTCTTCCCCGTGACATCACTGCATGTTCTTGTTTTATGTTTGTTTTCCCTCCAGCCCCTCCATTATCAAACCTGCCCCCCTCCAACCCTGCCGCACAGACCCCCGCTAGTGGCAGCTCCACCCTGTCAAAGAAGAGGCCACCTCCCCCTCCCCCTGGACACAAACGCACTCTATCCGACCCCCCCACCTCTCTCTCACACACCCCGTTCAGTAAAGGTGGGCTATACTTAGTCAACAACTCTAGGTTGAATTACAAAACTAATGTTTCTGGTGTTTATTTTTGTCCAGGTTTTCATTTACTCCGATCCACATAGAATGGATTTGATTTTTCCATTTATATGAGACATTTTCAGTTGAAACACCAATTTAGTTGTTTTTAAATAACATTCTAGCAAGAAATTACGGTCTTTTGGTTAATTTTAGATAAATCCTTAGTAGCTGTTTTTACCATCCCCAGGCTTCCTGCATTCACTTTTGGTTTAGTCTCTACAATATATTACCAGATAATTTGCATCCCATTCATTCTGTGGTGTTGTTACATGTTAAACTCCATAACATTTTAAATATGAAAACCAATATTGAGAGGAAAATATTGCCAATGAAAGCCTCAGCCTAATGACCCATCCCTAACCTTTTGACCTCTGCATTGTACCCTGCCCCAGTGGTTTACATGATTCTTAACATTTTGGGTAATGGGAAAGAGAAAGGCATGGCAAAATAATGGTCTGAGTTTTATTAATAGGTGAAAGACATACTTGAATGCATTGCATCTTGCCATGATCTGTTTGGATATAAATCTAAATTAAGTTGTTGATTGAAATAATAATTGCATAATTTGAGATGCATAATACCATTATTGTGCGTGGCCTTGTGCTAATGTGTTACCTTTCTGCTGTGTTCTTAATAAAGTTTGCTTTACTATACTGAGTCTAAACAAAGCCATAAAGTGACATTTGCAGAAAGAATTCCTGGAGATTTTCACATATACACAACAAACTTACATGTGTAAATATGCATGTTGCTTATACTTAAATGCATTTTAGTTTATGCACACTACAGTTCAAAATTTTGCGTTCAGTATTATATATATTTTTCCCCTTGTTTCTGAAAACATCAGTTTACATAAGAATGTTAAGCATAGGGCTGTCGCGATAATCGCAATATTGTAATATCGCGATACTGAAAAGCCAAAGCTGAGTATATATTATTATTTTTAATGCGGTGAGCATAAAATAATTTCAAAAACATTTTAAAAAATCTTACTGACGCCAAACTTTCACCCCCCAATGGTGTGAAAGTCACACAAAAGTATTTTCTGAAAATGTCACTTTAGAGGCTCTATAGACTTCTCTCACTAAAATCAGAGATTTAAGAAATTAGTTAATCTTACAGTACCTCACAGTATAATGTTCACTGTACAACATGCTCATCATTCCAGGAAGTGATTCAACGCCGCCTCCTGTCAACAAAATGTACCCTCAAAACAGATTTGAGGGTATCCCACATCAGCAAAGGTGAACCGACATCCTTTAAGCTTCAATAATGCAAATGAAACAGCCAGAACAAAACTGATTCAGAATTAAATTCACACAAGCAAGTAAAAATCTTTTGCAGTTTTTATATAGCAATTCTGAACTATTTTTGAACTAATTCTAAAACTATTTTTAGAACTATATTTGCATTAGAAAGGTCAGCAAAGTTTAGACTGCAAATTTAAACATGGTCTTTTGTGTTTCATTTGAATATGTCCATGTAATTTTTTCATTTTGTTTGGGCATGCAAATCAGTTCCATTTTATACAGTATGGCTGTTTTTTACTAAGCATGTAAATACGATATTATCGGACATTGCTTTGAGGCTTACATGTGTTCCATATTTCTAGTCTCAACACCACAAAGCCCACACTTGGTCCACGGGTCCTTCCCAAACTACCTCAGAAGGGTAGGTGACATGCTTTCTTCTTTTGACTATTGCTGTGGTACATCTGTATGGTGAAATAAAATAAACTCCATTTAAGAAATTAATTTGGTTATTTGTGAATAGTTATTTGCATTCACATATGTATAATTTAGTTTGTATTAAGCTGACAGTGTATCTTTTCCTACCCACTATTACAGTACAGTTAGATGTATACTTAAAGAGAAACATTTTCAAATGAAATTTCACATCACAAAATATACCCTATAAACTGCCAGTGGCAGTGATGAGGAGTAACTTCATTAAAAGATGCAACAAACAAAATAATTTATTCCAAGTATTTCAGCAAAAACTATTCTTGAAATTTTTACAACGCAAAAAAAGGAGACATTTTTTTCTTTTGTCATTTGCTATTTATTTATTCTTTTTGGAAACCCTATTTTCTAGTGTGCTCTACTGGCATTTTAAACCTAACCCAACATCTTGTTAGTGAGGGAAATATTTCCTCATATTTGTCTTCCAAAATTGTCTAGAACTATATCAAAAATTAGACAGAAAACCTACAACTAATCTACTAACACTTGGTCTGAAAAGTAAATGTGTGAACTTGTAATCTACCTGCCAGTAAATTACAGCTGGGGCCAGTTTTGTTCTAATAAGTTGAAGTATTAATGTGGCCATCATTGCTATCACCTATAGCAGGGACAGACAGGAGTTGACTTCTCTTCCTGTTGGAATAACTGGACTCGTAAATTTCCTGAACATCGGTTTTCAGTTTTGACCATCACATTTCTTAATACACCACTAAAGCATGTCTGAGAGTGAAATGTTAATTTGTTTGGTATTCCCTGTTCTTGCTACTGTGTAAAAATGGTTAACCCGTACAATGTATACACCATTACCTGTGTCCTCTCACAGGTTGTTCCTTTGTAATCCCATAAGTGTTTGTTTTATCCAAGTAATTTTACTAGTGTCATATTGAAGGACAGTGGTGTTTCACAAAAAGGTTACCATTCCTCATATTTAATGTTTTTTGAGAGGTCTTGGATACTTGAAATACAGAAGTTGTTTACTTGGTTCATAGATGTTATATTTTCAAGTGATAGGTATGTACTGTAATTTGAATCTATGCTTCGTCCATGCTTCCAGTAACCCCATGTTAGATCTCCAAAAAAAAATTAGCCGTTCAAATTCCTAATGAAGGACTATGACCACTATAGTTTCCAGTGTGCGATTTGGTCAGTTTTGCATTAGTTTATGAATTCTGACTATTCCTTTTGGTAGAGCGAATCCCCGAGAGTTTAGAGGAGCATGGTATCAAGTCTAGTTCAAAAGGAAGCACAATTGACGTTTAAATAATTTCATCCCCATTGGAATTGGACAGTCACCCCTTGTGTTGCATTTACCTAGTAATCAGTGGTGTGGTGACCGTATAGAGGTCCGGTGTGCTAAAGGTTTCTTTTTGACTGCAGATTCTGAGGTGGTGTCCACGGTCTAAACCTGTTCCTCACCATTCCATTATCAATAAAATGGTTTCATGTGAAACAGGACTCGAAGTCTCTTATGCATCAAGTTCACCCATTAAGAAACTCCACAGCAGCTGCCACAAGTGGACTCAAGACCACACATGCAACAACTCACGTGAAAACTGAAATTTATTTGCAGTCCAGCAACATACAACTCAATGTTTCTCTACAGTCATGCCAAATCTCAGATTGGGCCACAGAGTCAGTTCAAACAACCCAATACACTAGCAACGCATTTAAAAGCGGCTTCACTTTAAGGCAAAATAAAGTGTGGTTCCATAAAACTATACAAAAATGCTTAACTTAAAGAGAACCTTTTGGTTCACATACCAGACTGCTGGTAGATAAAGTATTATAAAAAGGGACAAATGAGCAACTCATTTTGATACAGCAGGTTTTTGTGAAATCTTTTTCACTTGGTCCACCTTCTCCACAGACTTGATGACTCCAACAGCAACTGTCTGTTTTAAGTCCCTTACAGCAAATCGACCTGACAAGGGGAAGAAAAGAAAAAACCCACACACCCCCCTTTAAAACCTGCTTGTTTCAGCAGTACTTTGACTATATAAATCCAGTGCCTTACCCAGAGGTGGATAATGAAAGAAGCTCTCCACACATAAGGGTTTGTTTGGGACGAGTTTGATTGTAGCACCATCTCCCGACATCAGGTACTGGGGCCAGTCCTCCAGTTTCTTCCCCGAACGCCGATCAAGCTTCTCCCTCAGCTCAGCAAAACGACAGGACACATGAGTTGTGTGGCAATCTAGTACTGGGGAGTAGCCAACCTTGATTTTGCCTGGGTGATTCAGCATTATGATCTGTTGAAATACACAAGAAAATCAGCTACCAGTTTGTCAGCCAGAGTTCAAACATTGGCAAAGCAAAGCTGCTGTACCTGAGCAATAAAACTGCTGACATCGGATGGTGGGTCCTGCTGTGCGTTACCTGCTACATCACCTCTCCGAAGGTTCTTTACAGATACATTTTTAATGTTGAAGCCCACATTGTGGCCAGGGAGGGCAGTCTGAAGCCCCTGGTGATGCATCTCAATTGACTTGACCTCAGCAGTCAACTTCGCTGGGGAGAAGGTCAGAACCATACCAGGCTTCAAGACACCGGTCTCAATCTTACCCACAGGGACTGTGCCAACACCTGGGGAGGGGGACCCAGTTTAGACAGTCACAGTAGATGTCAAGAGTGCTCAACAAGGGGTCTTATACTCTGTCAAATCAAGACCTTGCCCACTTGGTAGGTTTACCCACCACCAATCTTGTAAACATCTTGTAGGGGAAGGCGCAGTGGTTTGCTCGCATTGCGCACTGGAGGAAGTAGGGAATCAAGCACCTCCAACAAAGTTCGGCCATTTGAGTGGCCTTCTTTCCTCTTGAGCTTCCACCCTTTGAACCACTGCATCTGAAACAAGTAACCGAGGTCAGCAGATAAAGTCAGTGGTGCCCAATCCTGTTCCAGGAAAAATCTACCTTCCTGCAAAGTTCAGCTCCAATCCTGATCAAACAACTGAAACCGCCAACGAACATCTTCAGGAGCACTTGGTAGTTACAGACCGGAGTGTTGGAGCTGAACTCTACAGGTAGATAGGTCTACATGAACAGGATTGCCATATATATATATATATATATATATTCATGGCATGACCAGGGAGGGCAGTCTGAAGCCCCTGGTGATGCATCTCAATTGACTTGACCTCAGCAGTCAACTTCGCTGGGGAGAAGGTCAGAACCATACCAGGCTTCAAGACACCGGTCTCAATCTTACCCACAGGGACTGTGCCAACACCTGGGGAGGGGGACCCAGTTTAGACAGTCACAGTAGATGTCAAGAGTGCTCAACAAGGGGTCTTATACGCTGTCAAATAAAGACCTTGCCCACTTGGTAGGTTTACCCACCACCAATCTTGTAGACATCTTGTAGGGGAAGGCGCAAAGGTTTGCTCGCATTGCGCACTGGAGGAAGTAGGGAATCAAGCACCTCCAACAAAGTTCGGCCATTTGAGTGGCCTTCTTTCCTCTTGAGCTTCCACCCTTTGAACCACTGCATCTGAAACAAGTAACCGAGGTCAGCAGATAAAGTCACCTGGGTTGCAGCCTTCTCATATTTCTCAATTGTTCTATGGTCAATTCCTCCACATTTGTAGACCAGGTGACCAGTAGTTGTGGATTTGCCACTGTCTACATGTCCAATTATGACCAGGTTGATATGGATCCTTTCTTTGCCCATATTTGCTGATAGTTCCGTTAATTACCTGTTTTACACACCAAATACAACACACCTTATGACTTTCAAACCACAGTGAGCCTAGTTAACAAAGGGAACACTTAAGTATGGGTGCTGGTGATTGAGCCCTGGTGTGATCAATAAAGGCATTGATCATGTGTCCTGCATTGCTGCAATAATGACCACGCCCACAATGAATTAGAATAGGCTAGCTATTGGTATATAATATGCACTCCTGTATGGAAACAAAAACCTGAAAATGTCTGCATAACACAGATATCAAAGCAAATTTCTTTTTATCTCCTTAAACCCGCAGCGTTTAGGTTTTTTCTTTTTTTGACGGAAGTGGCCGCTCAAATTCGAATCTAAAATGAGGGCAACCTATAGCCAGCTGAAGAAAGTAACAACGGCCCTTTTGTACTTAAACTAATTTACGAAGTTTAGGCATATGTACAGGAATTAGACAAATGTTGTAACTTGCATTAGTTGCATTTGCACAGGTTTATATAACATTACACGAGTTTATCAGTCAGGTGTGTCTCTTATGCGCAACATCATAAAATGACCGGCAGGGGGCGCGCTGAATAATTCATTATTTTCAGTTATATTATAACAAATTATCGCATGTCTAATGCACACGCGACTAACCCGGGCAACATTGAAGGAACTTTTTCCCATCTTCCAAAAAAAAAAAAAAAACAATTTAGTACCCAAACAGTCATAAGGGATGAAGGGAATTCAAGTTAATACTAACCTGGGTTGCAGCCTTCTCATATTTCTCAATTGTTCTATGGTCAATTCCTCCACATTTGTAGACCAGGTGACCAGTAGTTGTGGATTTGCCACTGTCTACATGTCCAATTATGACCAGGTTGATATGGATCCTTTCTTTGCCCATATTTGCTGATAGTATAAATATAAATACAACACACCTTATGACTTTCAAACCACAGTGAGCCTAGTTAACAAAGGGAACACTTAAGTATGGGTGCTGGTGATTGAGCCCTGGTGTGATCAATAAAGACTTAATAATGCTGCAATAATGACCACGCCCACAATGAATTAGAATAGGCTAGCTATTGGTATATAATATGCACTCCTGTATGGAAACAAAAATCTGAAAATGTCTGCATAACACAGATATCAAAGCAAATTTCTTTTTATCTCCTTAAACCAGCAGCGTTTAGGTTTTTTCTTTTTTTGACGGAAGTGGCCGCTCAAATTCGAATCTAAAATGAGGGCAGCAGTCATATGGCTAATACCAAAGACAATAGAATATAACATCCATGTTTTGTATTAGTTACAACCTATAGCCAGCTGAAGAAAGTAACAACGGCCCTTTTGTACTTAAACTAATTTACGAAGTTTAGGCATATGTACAGGAAGTAGACAAATGTTGGATAATTCTATACAAATGTCAAGTATCATTTCACGTGGCAAAGACAGATTTCAGAAAAAAAAACATTTTTGATTTTATTGGACAGTGTGTCGTCATTAGTAACTAGTAAACAGGTTTATATAACATTACACGAGTTTATCAGTCAGGTGTGTCTCTTATGCGCAACATCATAAGTTGACCGGCAGGGGGCGCGCTGAATAATTCATTATTTTCAGTTATATTATAACAAATTATCGCATGTCGCCTGCATGTAGCCTTCTAGTAGTCTTGAAGACAATAATTAGCTGGTTCAGGTGTGTTTGATTAGGGTTGGAGCTAAACTCTGAAGGAAAGTGGCCTAGAAGGGCCATGTTTGCCCACCCCTGCTCTAGATAGGTGTCCTCAAAACTAACAGACGTGCAGCTACAGCCACTGTACTCCAGTTTTGATTTCATGAGCCATAGGCCACAGTGTGCATCCATTGTTGTAATTAGCACTTTCTGCTAATCTCATCATCCCAGTAAGAATGTGTTGTGTATTTGGAGGTTAGTGGAGGATTGGAGCTGTAAAACTTTAAACAAGAATGCAGTGTACAAATCGGTGATGGTGTTCTTTGTTGAAGGAGTTTCCTTAAGATAACTCCCCAGAGCATTCGTTCACTTAAACATCAATTTAAGCAATTTTATAGTAAGGCAGACATTTTCATAGGATGTTTAGTTAGTATCCAAGCCATTGCTAAATGTATAGCAGGAGAAGAGTGCTGTCGACATTATATGCCTGTTGTTCTCAGAATGACAATCTGTAGAATTTGCCTATGAAAGACATAAGGAAGTTTATTGTACTAAATAAAAAAATGCTAATCTTCACTCTGAACTAGCTCACTAAACTTCCTGTTTCTCTTCCGTTTGCCCTTTACCCCGTAAGATTTCTGTCCAAGTGGAAATGTACCTTGTGTTCCTAATAAGTGTGATTGTTTTGCAGAAATTGTAGGCAATTGTTTTTTTTTTTTAACAATGTTGAAGGTTGAATGTTTTTTTTGCGTTATGATATTAACCATTGTGTGTTGTTAAGCCTCAAGAGCACATGTCCTTGTGGCCTAATTCTTTTTTTTTTAACCTCAGGTGATCTATGTACTCTGTCTTGCAGCAGCATGTAATGTTGTACTTTCTTAATGTCATGTCTCCACATGTCAACCATTTGAGCTGAGCAGTGTGATTTTTCACTTGATTTCCACTTCAGGATTGTAACATTTCAATTGTTAAGTGTTAAATAGAACTGAAAACATACACCACTTTGACACACACATTTGGTACTTGAAACCATGTGCTTGAAAGGAAATGAAGAAGGAAAAAAATGTATTTTCCCATCTACTCTTATGTTTTAAGGAGGGGCAAACTTTGCTCAGGGTCATTATAGTTAACTAATACTAAAAGTAAAACCATAAAAAGAAAACCAAACAGTCAAAAAAAAAATTTGTTGTTAGTTATAAAAAAATAAACATTAAAGAAGAAAAAAATTTTTTTTTAGTTATAAAAAAAAAAAAAATAAAAAAAAGAAACCCCCCCCCCCCCCCCCACAAATCCACTTTCTTCTGCAATCTTCCTTGTTACTTTAATCACACAAATTAGTCTTATTTAGTCTTCAAAAATTGGGATATTATTAACGTGTAGATGGGTGCAAAAAGAAACAAAATTCCAAAGTTAAACTTTGTTGTCTTAAAGACATCGAATTTAAAGAAATAAATTTGAACTTATTAAACCAATAATTTATAACCTTTAATGTATCTGGCCTAATTGTGTGTAGTCTAAGAAAATTGTCTGTAGTCTTAGATAGTTTTCATTATATTTCATTAAAATTGAGCAATTTCCTCCATATTTAAAATGTAATATTTCTTTCTGCTGATCTATTAAAATCTGAATTGCTGTAAAAAAAAAAAAAAAAAATGTTATAACTAATTTTCACAAGCCAACCAAATCCCAGTGGACACAATTAAGCCTTGCCCTATTGTTTCTCTCAGAAATATGTTATGTTTTGTAAGTTAAATGTGCTCCAGATGCCATTTCATGTCATTATAGATAATAATAACTTGTAAAGGCCAGACCTGCCGCAATTAGATCGCAATTCTGTCATTTCTTTTGTTCAGCAGCGATGAGCCCATTTCTAGCTTTTGCTTCAACTGTCACTTTGACACTCTACATATATTGTGTGCCCACTGCGTCCCCTCCCTCTTGTTTCCATGGTGAGGATAGCTGAACATGGTAACCGGCACAGATGACTTGGCAACAGTTGGGAAGGAAACCCAACAGTATCCATCTGTTGCCTTTAACATGCCAGTCTTGAGTGAAGCAGAAGAGTTATACTAGACTCTCTGCTCTCAGTCAGAAAGCATGAGGGACATGTTTTAAATAGAGCTGACTATAAGCAGCATAGATGGCTAATTCTAGTGAGGTCATGCTGTCGCTAAGTGAGAATTTGGTTGGTTTTGGTGATGGCTGAGGTGTGTGTTCACGGGGCTAAAGAGGATATGAGTCAAGCATGTTTTTGCCTCATTAGTCAGCTCATGACTCTTCATGCTTGAGATTTGGGCTGATTTTAGATGGTCCACACCAGGGCTCCACATTTCCCTCTTTTGCCCAAAAGAAAAGGTTTTCTAATCTGTGGTAAGCCATTTTCTTCGATTTTGCCATCTACGTGTGAGTTTGTAGAAGATACTTATTCTTATTTAAAATTGTTTCAAGTTTTTCCACAAGTAATAAAAGTATGAAAAAAGTAAACAAGTTTCACCCAAAAGTTTTTGTCATATTTCTGCTGCCACTGAAAAACAACTGTAAACTGTTGTCCGTTTTAGGGTGTGCTGGTGTGCTTCATGATCTTCCTCAGTCTGCAGCTGTAAAAGGAAAATATATTATACTTCAGTAAAGCAATGGGCTGAGTCTGACCAAATGCACATTAGATCATTGACACTTGCTAAAATATAACTTTTCAGTAAATAACAAACCTTAGCTTTTATAATAAATGTAGATAAGATTACATATATTAAGTGTATATCAAATAGATGGAAACTGTATTATTAAAAACACTTTACAATAAGATTCCATTTGTTAGATAACATGACCTAACAATAAACAATAGTTATATAGCAATTATTCTTCTTGGGGTTCATTTCAAAATGTACTAATACATAAATCACAAATTCAATCTGTTAAATTTATTTAATGCACAATGAACACACATGAATGATCAAGTGTTTGTTTTAAATAACATTTAATTCAACGTTAATGAATGTTGTAAAAAAATATTGTTCACTCACTGTAAGATGTTACTAGATCGAACTCATGAAGATAACATGAAGTCATTGTAAAGTCTATACAGGAGATAAAATTTGACTGTACTTTTATTTAATCCAAACTGTGTTCATATTTAATTTTAAAAGGCTTTTAAAACCAGCTAGAGTTATGCAGCCAAGAATAACAACTAACTAAAAAAATAAAAAATCCCAGAACTGTTTTTCTGACGGACTGATATGACATAAGCACTGTTAACCATACATTTGTACATTCTCTAACACGCATATTTTGGATAAAAAGTTCATTTAAAAGCCTCTGGTGTGTAAAAATAGTAAATATCATTATGTCCTCCTGTGTTTTACACTAATAAAAGTTATAGGAGCATTAAATAGTTAACAAAGAAACTTCATTCTAATGCTCGTTATATTAGCGTTAGCTGCGCTTATGCTAACGTTACGTATACGCTAACGGCGATGTTTATTTCAATCTGACATTCAAATTAAAATATGGAATAATATTCATAACAGAAGCTCTAAATATTAAAAATGTTATTGAAACTTACTTGCTTGAACTCTTTCATTTGATCGGGGGGTTTTGTTAGTCTTATGTGTTTCCTTCTCTTGAGGTTGCCACGTCTCAGTGCTTTTGAAGAGGATAGCTTTCAGATGGCGCATCAAGAACCGGTTTGACTGGGTACTCGGTACCGTAACGTTTACATTTTTTTAGTACCGACTTGGTACCGAAATACCGGGTCTTTTGACAACACTATAGCTTATGTTTGTAAAATAAAATAGCACAGCTTTTAAAATATCTTATCTTATTTTCTCCAATAATCCAAATTCAATGGAAAATTCCTATTCACCTTTTGAAGAAACAAAGACAAATTCCAGGTTGACCTACAAAATTCATACATTTTTTTTTTATTAAACAAAATACCAGAGAGCATCCAAAGATTGTGAAAACTAGATAAAATATATAGTCCTAGATAAAATTATTAGCCTACCCCTTCTAGTGTACCTGTTATTCCTTTACATCAGTTGCGATTTAATTTGTCCATTAAAAACCCAAAATTAATGTCCAAATCAGATAAATCAGTGATCGTCGTAAAAAAATTATAGTATTGCTAAACTGTGGATTGTGCTTGATATGTTTGTAAAATAAAATAGCACAGCTTTTAAAATATCTTATCTTATTTTCTCCAATAATCCAAATTCAATGGAAAATTCCTATTCACCTTTTGAAGAAACAAAGACAAATTCCAGGTTGACCTACAAA